GACAGTGAGATGGTTCTGGGAACGAAGAGTCTGCAAGCACGTCTCTTCTCAAACACGTTCATTGAGAACTTGATCAAGTGAGGAAAAAGGTGAAGATGGAGAAGCTAACTGCGTACGGATTCAAAATCATCATGAAAGCTCATCAGAAATTGGTAAAGACGAATCTGATTGCGATACTCTAGAAATTTCCTTGCTTCAGAAGAATATTCCTATGATGGTTCTGAGAGAGCTAATTGATCCCATAGACATTTCATTCGGGAGAAGAATCCATTAATGCATTGACCTGATTCTTATTTGAGAGTAGAAAGTTGAACCATTAATTGAAATTGTCGAGCCCCATCAGAACCAGAGTAGCGAGAGGCAAGCATGTCCCAGACCTCCTTAGATGTGTCGTAACTCTCAAATTCCATCCCAATGGAAGGATTAGATGTGTTGGGTAACTATATGATGATCTTGTGATTATAACTGTCCCAGTCTTCAACACATATTGTATAGGCATCTGATGACTCTTATTTGGCCTAAGTAGGTGTTGTACGATATCTAGTAACATAAGACCATAACTTGCGACCTTTTAGAAAACTACGCATAGATTGATCCCAAAATGAATAATTGTCACCATTAAGAATAACTGATATAGAGTGAGTAACCTCGTTTTGTGCCATTTAAAAATCCCGAATGCAAAATCAGATTGCAAATTCGGTATTAGCGTAAAAAACTGGGCTGAAATAGTGTTTTTAGAAAGAAAAAAATTCTAACAAACGTGGCACTGACGAAGCAGACAGCTGAAGTCTGACGTGGCAACCTATTGATGTGGCAGTCCGCTGACATGACAAAATGGCCTTGGATGCTGATGTGGCAATGCTTATGTGGCATAATGGCCCTGGATGTTAACGTGGCAGAATGACCTTGGATGCTGACGTGGCAGGGCTAATTATGCAGCTGACGGGGCACGTGGGAGCGCGTTGAGCTTGAAGGAGAAGAATTCACGCGCGTTAGATGTAGATTTGACGAGTTTTGGCGCATGAAGGTGCGTAAAGGCTGATGCTGGAGCGTTGAGGCATGTGGCGGGCCGAAAAAAGGTATAGAGGCTTGCGGCAGCGCGTGGGGGTGCGAGCTTGCTTCTTTCTGGCTATTTTTGGTGGCATTGGGATGGTTTGAGTCTAAACTTTCGCCCAGTATGCTTAAAATGAGGCCAATTTCGAACACCTAACATAATGTACTCTTAATGGACTTATTGGAAACTACCAACAAATTAAAAAACAGAAGGCAGAGAACTTGGCTCTAATACCATGTTAGAAATAAAATAGAAAGAGAAATGTATATGTATTAATGTGTTGATAATGAATACAAGATGGGTTTATGTATAAGGGGTTATGTGTTGTGAACAAGTAAACCCTATATGTATATATGGTAACTCTACACATGGTAACAAGGGTAGGTGAAAACAGTTAACCCTAACCCTAGTATACAATTACATACATAAACTAAGCAAATTTTTTTTTTTTAATTTTTTTTAAGAAGGTAAAATGAGAAAGAGAGCGTTGTATATGACGCGAGAGTTGCTATGTGCGGCAATGTGAAGATAAAAGATGATGTTAGATTAGGGCTAAAGTTATATGCATATATGTATATGTGTATATCATGATTCACCGTATCGTCCGATACACGATTCGTATTAGCCAGTTTACAATGATTTTGTCCAATTTCAGTACACTGCGACTGTAACCGATACTGCGAACCATGGTGTGTGTGTATATATGTGGGGGTAGGGGGTGTTTAGGAACACGAAAGGCGGTAGAATTTTCTTATAATTTTAAAACAAGGGCATTTTTGACATTTTATTTTAGGGTTCAGTGCTCTGAAACCCCCTCAGGTTTGGATTTATTGCCCTCGTATTAAACCTTAGCCATTTTTGCTCTCACACCCCCTATGAAAAGTAAGAAAAAAATAATTTTACTATAATACCCTTACCTTTATTTAACTTTAAACTTATGTAAACAGATAAAACGTGAAATGACAATATTATCCTACACCCAATTCTCTCTCTCCCCTCTCCCTGAATCGCTATCACTGTTCACTGTATTTCTCTCTATCCCATATATATATATGTGTGTGTGTGTGTGTCAAGAGGTAGAGTGGTTACCAAAAAAGTTGTTTTTATTTAGGGGTAAACCAACTCTCTGTTTGGTTGCTGGGAAATGGAAGGAAAATAAAATGGATTTTTTTATTTTAATTTATTTGGAAACTAAAATAGATTTAAAAAAAAAAAAAAATTATATATCATGGTGTTTTTTTTTTGGTAAACTAACCTCAGTTTCTAATTTTTTTTTTTTGGTAAATTTTATAGGAATGACTTTTGCAGATATAGTGATGGCCATGGCTTCTATTATTATTATTATTATTTTCCTCACTGGTGGTTGTGGTGTGGTGGCGGTGGTTGGGGTGACCATGGTTTGTTTTCTGTTCTTCTAGTGGTACTATGGTTGTGGTGGTGTTTGGGTTTGCCATGCAAGAATTGTTAGGATTATTTTGGTCCATTAAATTGGTATTATATTTACGTAAAACCATGGAGGGTAATTTAGGCATTATATTTTATCAATTTGAAAGAAAGGAGTGTCATAATAAGATAAACCAAACCTCGTGGGGGTGTATTAGCAAAATTGGATGAGGTTTAATATGAGAGCAATAAACTGAAAACTTAAGAGGTGTTACAGCATTTAACCCTTTATTTTACTACTCCCTCCGTCTCATAAAAGTTGTTCACATTAATAATTAGGTGGTAGAATTTTCTTCTAATTTTAAATAAGGGCATTTTTTATGTTTTATTTTACTACTCCCTCCGTCGCATAAAATTTGTCCACATTTATGGGACGGAGGGGGTAATGATAGGAGCACGAGTCTATTATTTCGGAGTGCTAATTTCATTACTCAATTTAAAATGTGTATTCGTTGGGAAGGAATTTTTTTTTATAAAACCATTAAGCCCCTTGGGAAGGACTTTTTGGGAAGGACATTTTCATATTGACTTTATTAAACTATTAACACCCCCGGCGCTTGATGTATAGACATATATTAAACGATACGTTTGACCATTGTCGAGACCCAATAATCTTCTATTGCGATTGACCATTTAAGTGGTCCAATGTCCACCAAGAAGAAATTAGTCATGCAGTATATGATAATAATAATAAAAAATCGCAGTTTTTTTAAATTTAAACTCTTCACCTTTGCAATTTAATTAATTGGTAAATGATCCTAATGAGTTGTAATTGAACATTAAAAGAATAATTGATTCTCTCTTTTAAATTGGATTAATTAGTTTTTTGAAATTTAAATACTTCAGCTTTTGCAATTTAATTAATTGGTAAATGATCATAATGAGGTGTAATTGAACATTAAAAGAATAATTCATTCTCTCTTTTAAATTGGATTAATTAGTTTTTTGAAATTTAAATTCTTCACCTTTGCAATTTAATTAATTGGTAAATGATCATAATGAGGTGTAATTGAACATTAAAAGAATAATTCATTCTCTCTTTTAAATTGGATTAATTAGTTTTTTGAAATTTAAATTCTTCACCTTTGCAATTTAATTAATTGGTAAATGATCATAATGAGGTATAATTGAACATTAAAAGAATAATTCATTCTCTCTTTTAAATTGGATTAATTAGATATATAGAATTAAGTTATACCAATGCTTCTTTTGAACAACCGAGTATCCTACCATTATTTTCGTATTAAAATGGATATAAAAATAATGTCAAAATACTTTAAATCAAGTTATGAGTTAGCCAAAGATAAAGAAATGATTTGTTCAAATTTGATAAAACAAAAAATTAATATGAAATTTAATTTGAGTGTATGATTTACATAAAATTAAGAGTTTGTTTGGCTATCGCAGTTATTTTGTGCTTTTACTTTGACCTGAAATAAAAATAATATTTATACTTCGGAGTGTGTTCAATACCATTTCGTAGCATGTTTGGTAGCGTACATTTGTTACAAGATTTTTGAAAATAAAAATATAAAATCATGTTTGGTAAAAAAAAGTGTTGCAAGTTTAAAAAATAAAATGACTAGTTAAAAAAGTCATTTTAGAGTTTTTTTTTTTGGGTACTGTTTATTGCTACAGTGTGGAAGCAAACATAAGCCTGAATTTGGTGCTTTCGATTTTGGGATCTTTTGCAGAAACGCTTCGATATTATTTACATTGTAGCAAACTTTACCAAACACGATTAGTTGTTTTGCTTCACTACAATAAAGAAGAAAAAAAAACACGAAGCAATTGCATTTGCAAACATCCTTTAATATATATATATTTTTTTCAATTTCAATTTTAAGACCCTGATTTATACTACAAAACACAGTTTAAATGAATTTACTATCAAAATTTTGACCATTATTTTTAAAACACGATTGGTAGGGATGACAATTTCCTCCAACACGGCAGGTTCCGCCCCACTACTAATGGGGCAAATTTGATAGTTCCTTAAATGAGTTTGGGGTTGGTATGGTGAAATAATTGAAAATCCGAAACGAGTTTGTGACGGGGGCAGATTTAGTGATGAACCCGTTTCGACCCTGCCCCAATTATATATGTACCTTTTAAAATATATATATAAATATGTATTTAATATTTTTAATACTTTTGTTATTTTGTTGGAAGTGTCACTTAATATATTATTATTCATTATTTAGTAATATATTTTCTTTCTACGTAATAAAAGTGACATAACCCGCCATACTCAGCAATTAAACGAGGTACACGATGGGTGATCAATACTTTATCTATCAAAATAATGATGAAAATAATATACCAATTAATAACCAGTCCAAAATAAGGGCAAAATTAATATGACAAATATTCTAACCTGCCATTGCTGCCATCCCTTAAGATTGGACACAAAACTAAGGAAAAAAAGTACCGGGTTCATGGATTCTAATAGCGAGGTGACGACATCTTAATGTTTCTCTTAAATAATAAATAAATAGGGAATGAAGACACACAAGTCAATTATTCTCCATTTCGGATTCGCCGCCCACTGAGTACACTAAAGTGGCTACGCAACCCTTCTCTCTCTCCCAAAAGTTGATTGTTTGCGCTCTTTGTTTTTGTAAGAAAATGGATGATGACTGTAACTCCTCCGGTCATCTGCCAACGATTATGGTGACGAACGACGATGGAATTGATGCGCCGGGTTTGCGAGCTCTAGTTCGCGTCATCGTCTCCACCGGTTCTTATCAGGTTCTAGTCTGCGCGCCTGATTCGTACGTACTCTCTCTCTCTCTCTGTATATGCATTCATTTCTTTATCAAACAAATGTATTTTATATATCTATCTATATGTATGTGTATGTGTGTGTGCGTTTCTTTTCAACTGAAGGCCTGCCAATGTATTGAAGTCACGTGTGATCAGTTTGATTCTCCAAAGTTTAAGCTCTGTATATGTGAATTTTGACTGCAATTTGATAATTCTAGCTTTGTAGTATTATATACATATTTCAATGTGTTGTGGTGACGTAGCCTAAGATTTTGCTATGATCAATTGTCTAGTGATTCTTTCTGTGACCGATTTTTATTTCCTTTGATAAATTTGTTGTGGAATTTTGAGTAATATCTCATGTTTTTATGATTGTAAATTGGCTGTGAAATCCCAGAAAATAGTTTTGCTTTCTTTTATTCATTCACGATTGGCAAGTTTGTGTGAAGAGAAAAAGGAACAAAGTTGAGAACATAAATTTCTGTTAGTGTTGTCATCTACGATTGGTTTAGACAGCTAGAGAAAACTTTGGTGATAGATTGTTAATGTACATGAAAATTATACAAGAGTTGAAGAGCTCAGTTTGCTTTTATAGAACAAGAAATAAAAGCTCAAGTCTCAAATTGCAACTTGTATAAGAGTATGGTATTTGTTTTACCATTACTAAACTAATTCTACCTTCTTCTTCTTTTTTTTTTTTTTTTTTTTTTTTACTTTTATTTATTTATTTATTTTTTAAAAATATGTTTAGCTCCAAAGAAATAAGGTAATAAAATGATAAATTCCACAACATTAACCCCACACAGACGGAACTCTAATTGCAAATAATGATTTTAGTTCCTGCATTTCTATTGCTCCTATCTAAAAAACATATTTATTGAAGAAAAAAGAAGAAAAAACAAAATCCTAGCCATTAGACATCCTTCACGATTCCATTTCTTTTCATCAGTTGAATCACTTGCAATGACATTGTAACTTTAAGATTCATTGTTTGGTACAATGGTAAAATCGGGTTGTCAAGTATGAAAAATGTTTGCGTGTTTGAGTATGGACACTTGTCCAAGGTTATTTCAGTAGCTTTGAATAAATGGTTTTCTACTATGATACCATCCATATATATGGAGCTTTGAGTGCCTATCAAATACCCTAAGCTTGGTAAGGTTTGGGGGATGATGCACAGATTCAGCATGGGATAGGACATTCTCCAGTTCCCATGACCACTAAAGCCTAACTGATCTACCTTCATAATTATTAATTAAAATAATAGACAAATTCTGGTCTTCTCTCAATCAAAACGGTTGTTGTCAAAGTGTTGTATCTTGACCGGTCGCATAAAAATTCCCCCCTTGTTTGGTTTGCGACTGCAACCTCTTGTATTGTTCAAGCAGAACCTAGCCAAAATGATGTAAATTGTAATAGTGGGGTTAATATGTTTCTTGGATTATTAAATGTGGCAATGCACAATAAAGGAGAATAGTGATTTGATCAGTTATAATTTTTAATATCATTTATCAAATAATTATTATATATTGACAAAATAAAATTGGGAAGAATTGCATTTCTAGACAGAATCTGATGTCCTTTGTTTACTCATTGCTCCTTTTCCAGGGAAAAGTCAGCTGTTAGTCATAGTATCACTTGGCGTCATGCTGTTTCTGTCAAGCGAGCAGAGATTGATGGAGCAACAGCCTTTGCAGTTTCTGGTTTGTTGCAACTTTCTCTTAATTGCTTTCATATACAACTTATTTTTCTTGTAATCGCTTTCATATACAACTTATTTTTCTCTTAATCGTTTTTTCTTAGTTTACAGTGGTACCTAGTGAGAATCTCGTTTATCATTAGGATTTGAGAGGGGTCTTTTCTTGGCTTAAATATATTTTATTCAAAGGTAGACGTACTTTCCCTACTTTCTGGTCCAAACTTTTAGAATAACATCACCATCGAAGGGTACAACTGACGAACTCTGTCTTCTTCTTTAATGTGGTTTATCATATAGTATCAACAAGACTAGGGAATCCTTGTATGCTAGTGGAAAATGTGAAAGAATGATTCGTTCTATTTGTAAAAGAGAGAATGCCTCCCCATAAAATTATACCCCTGGTCTAGCTACAACAGGGTCCTTGGGAGGAAGGACTTGAGACTCGAGAGAGACTAGCCTTTGGTATTTTACAAAGTGTCAGGCTTGAACTCACACCTACAACACTTTACATTTTTTTTTGACTTGGAGTATATGCTATCCGTACGAAAATGGGAAAAGAAAACCACAAAATCAACTTTGAATTTTATGGTTTATAAGTGTTTTTTGACATTTGGTTCCCTGATGTGTGTATATTCGACGTCAATCAAATTATGACCAAAAAGGAATCAACATGAATTCAGGCATATTTTTTTTTTTGATAAGTAAATTGTATTAAAAGCGTTCAAAAAGGGGAATGCGACCCAAACTATACAAAGACAAAACGGAGCCTATGAATTCAAAGAGCTCATAAAATCAACAATCTCCTCAAGAGAGGAGTAGTCTCTCCCCTGACCCCAACAAAACAAATTACAAATGATGGAAAATTTTAACACCCCAATGGAGGATTCCTTTCCCTCAAAAGATCTTCCATTACGCTCTCTCCAAAGGCTCCACCAAATACAAAAAGGGATCATCCTCCAAAAAACTCTGACCTGAGCCCCCACCCATTGGCCCCTCCACATATGAATTCAGGCATATAATTACTCTATTCCTCTATATGTCAATAGGAACCCCAAAAATTCCAAGTGATGATGTTTGTAAAATTAGTAGTGAGGTGGATTTTCTGGTTTGCCTCCTCTTGGAGTCTTCATCACTAAAGTAATTCTTTATGTTAGGTTCAAACTATAAGACCTGAGCATTACTAATTGCATGCATGCATTTGCATTTGCATCTGTGTTCAGGTTTGACACTGACACATTGTTATATTGCTATTAAACACATGTATGCATGCGTGTATGAATTAAGACATATGTACTTTCTCTTTTCAATCAAATTCTTATGAATACATGCATACTGTGTATATTATAACTTATCAAAAAAAAAAAAATGTATATATATTATAATATGTTTTACATAACACATGTATAATGCAAATGTCTGACCTCATAACCTAATGCCTATGCTTGGAATTTGTAAATTATAACCTCAAAAGAGCTTCACCTGCCAATCTACCATATAACTTGTTCTACTTGTGTTAGTACAAGGAGAAATATAAAATGCATGTATCATAAGCCTTCTTGTTTATGTACTATGTAATCTCTATTGGTTAGTGTTGAAGGATTTAAATATTTGAGTTACACCCTCTAACTGCTTAAGCTTTTAGAGTAGTGGTGATTGGCATGGTATTAGAGGTAAAGGTCTCATGTTCAAACCTTACCGTCACCATGATAAGGTGGCCATACATGAGGGGGCGTGTTGATGAATTTAAACATTAGAGTTACACCATTTCTAATGGCTTAAGCTTTTAAAGAAGATGGTGGTTAACATGGTATCAGAGCCAAATGTCTTGTTTAAACCTCACCGACAACCTCATAATCAAAACTGAAACACGTGAAGGGTTGTGTTGAACGATTTTAAAATTTAAGTTACACCCTATCTAACAACTTTAGTTTTTAGAGTAGATGGTGGTTAACAGTTAGGAAGATTTATAACCTTATTGACCATTGTTTCTTAGTTATTAGGCCATGACTTCATGTTAACCTTTGTGTCCTTTGACTAGGTCATTGTGTCGAATGTTATTTCAAATGGTAAGATCACGAGTTATTAGTTTCAAAGAGCGATTGGTGATAGAATAAAATCGTGCCAGTCAAAACCGAATTGTGCATTTGATTTTCTTTTTAACTAGCATGATAGCGTCAATGCGATCCAATCTCACATCCTCCAACATTGCAGCTCAACTTCTCCACATGCTTCTTTTTGCGAACTGACTGCATTGGTGACATTGAGTGAACACTGGTAGACATAGGGGATGATGCACTCCTTAATGCAAAAGCCATTAAGTATTCTTGTTTAGGTTAATTACTCAAATAAGTCAAAGATTGCTCTTTGTACATCTACAATAACTTAAAGTTACTTATGTTTTGCAGGTACTCCAGCAGATTGTACTTCTTTGGGGATCTCCAAAACACTCTTCCCTTCAGTACCTGATCTGGTAATTATTTGGGCTTCAATTTGCAGTATCAAAATGTTAATGATTACTAGACTGGAGAGCATTCACTTAAAACCTTGACTATAAATTTCATGTTGCTTCCATTTTGCTAATTGGGGTGCACGTAACAGGGATACTTCCTTTAGCATTTCTTGAGAGTTGTGCAATGCGGAAATGGTAGGAATTGTTTCAAATTATAAAGAGGCAGGGGGATTGACTAGGTCTAGTTTGCTCTTTTTGTTTGTTTTTTATTTTAACCAATTTCAATTTAGTTAATGAGCAACAAGCAAGCAAAACACATGACAAAAATAAGAACGAGAGAGAGAGATAGAGAGAGAGAGAGATGACACAAGTTCTTACGTGGAACACTATAGTGAGGAAAAACCATCTGAGAAAGATTATGATGAGTTTCAGTGCCTTCAAAGTTGCTTTCCACAAGATGTCGATTCTAATGCCTTCAGATTCACTTTTTGTTGATTTACCTCCGACACCAACACTTAGTGTCCTCCAATTCCAATGCCTTCGGAATTTCCAATAACACTGATCCACGTTAACTCAATCATCTCACAGTGATCTGGTTCTCACACTGATTAAAAACCTTTTTCCTTCCACTAGCGCGTGCAAAGTGACAATACGAAGAGAACAAAGAGATTTGTGGAGAAAACTTCTGTCCCTTTCCCTTCGGGAGACTTTCTTTATATAATAATATTTACTATACAAGGAATGCTTACCACAATCATATCCCAAGATTTAGTATCCACAAATAATATTCCTAACTACAAGCAATCTGTAAATCATCTAAATTGGAATGAAATCCCTAATTACAAGTTATCTTACAACTCATCAAATCATCTAATTTTGGTATGTAGATCACCTCCTCTGATACCCCCCCTCAAATTGATGTTGGTGAATCCACAAGCATCAATTTGTCAACTAAGAACTGGTGACGAGTCTTAGTTAAGGCTTTAGTGAAAATATCTGCAGTTTGGAAATTTGTTGACACATGAGGCAAAGTAATGAGATGATTAACATAGGCTTCCCGAATGTAGTGACAATCGACCTCTATGTGTTTAGTCCGTTCATGAAATACTGGATTTTCTGTAATCCGGATGGCACTTGTGTTATCAGCATGTAGAGAAGTAGGATTTCAGAACAGGCAGAAGACATGGCTCGATATTCTGCCTCAGTAGAAGATTTTGAAACTCGCTCTTGTTTCTTGCATTTCCATGACACAAGGGAGCCATTGAGATACATGCACTACCCCGTTGTAGATTGACTAGAATCAGGACAACCTGCCCAGTCAGCATCACTATAAGCTGTAAGTTGGAGAGATGAACCAGCTTTATAAAATAACCCACGCTCTGGAGTGCCGAGTAAATAGCAAATGATCCGTTTGACAGCTACAAGATGAAGATGTCGAGGTTGGTGCATAAACTGACTCATCAAATTAACTGCATGAGAAATATCTGGTCTTGTGATTGTCAAATAAACCAAGCTCCCAACTAGTTGCCTATATGTCGTAGGATCAGAGAGTAGTTGGCCTTCATCTTTTTTATACTTGACATTAATTTCAAGTGGAGTAGCTACTGGAGTTGAGTTCTGGAGTCCAGCCAAAGCAATAAGATCTTTGGCATATTTGTGCTGATTAATAAAAATTCCATTACCTGATTGATGCACTTCAAGGCCTAGGAAATACGTGGGGTTTCCAAGATCCTTCATGTGGAAAAAAGAGTGTAAAGAAGCCTGTAGTTGTTGAATGCCTATTGTATCTGTACCAGTGATGATGATGTCGTCCACATATACAAGGAGAATGGTGATACCAGTTTCACGACGACGAAGAAACATAGAAGGATCAGTTTCAGATCACCATGTAAGAAGGCGTTTTTTACATCCATTTGATAAAGAGGCCAAGATTGAGAAGCTGCAATAGCAAGCACTGTATGAACAGTTGTCATTTTTGCCACAGGAGCAAAAGTCTCTTCATAATTAATCCCATACTCTTGCCAATTCCCGAGAGCGACCAAACGAGCTTTATATCGATCGAAGGAGCCATCAGATCTAAGTTTAACAGAGAAAATCCATTTGCAACCAATTGGTTTGTGACCAAGAGGACAAGGAACAATATCCCAAGTATGATTCCTCTCAAAAGCTTCCAATTCTTCCTTCATAGCTTGTTTCTAACATAAATGTTGTATGCCCTGTGAATATGAGTTGGGAATAGATTTTGATGACAGAGTAGTCATAAGAATTAGGCGATCAGGAGGTTTGATTTGGCGAGTGGATCTTCGAAGAGGAGGCGGTTGTGGACTTGGATCAGGAGATGGAGAGGAGTCACGGTTAGGACCTTCTTCTGCACCAATTGTTGTTTTACCTCGTCGCTTATAAACCAGCCCAGGTTTAAACCTTGTGAAAACAGAAGGATTATTACTACTAAAGACATGAAGATAAGAAAAGGAGGACGGAGGAGAAGGGACATGAGTATTTTGAAAGAAATACTGTTTTTCAACAAAGACAACATTACGAGAGGCACGAATGCGACGGACAGAAGGATCATAACACAAAAAACCTTTTTGATGAGATGCATACCCAAGAAATGCACAAGAAGCAGATTGTGCAGATAATTTGTTTCGATCTTGTGCAGGTAGATGGATGTAACAAACACAACCAAAAACACGCAATTGGTTATAATTGGGATTAGCTTGATGCAAGCGAAAATATGGAGATTGATGTTGAAGCTTTGGAGAAGGCAATCTATTGATAAGATGCGCAGCTGTGGAAAGTGCTTCCACCCAAAAACGAGAGGGTACTGATGCATCAAGAAGTAGGGTCCGAGTAACATCCAAAAGATGCCTATTTTTCCTCTCGGCTACTCCATTTTGTTGAGGAGTAGATGGACAAGTTTGCTGGGAAATGATTCCTTCATGTTGAAGATAATTTTGAAATTCATTTTTCATATATTCACCTCCAGAATCGGAACGAAGAATTTTGATGGATGTGGAAAATTGATTTTTTAGGTAAGCCAAAAAACGCTTAAAGGCATCAAAAACTCCAGATTTAGAATGCAAAAAATAAATCCACGTGTGTCGACTATAATCGTCGATGAAGGAAACAAAATATTTGTGACGAGAATGAGAGGGAAATGGAGCATCCCCCCAAACGTCGGTATGAATCAAATCGAAGCATTTTGTAGTAATGTCACCATGAATTGGAAAAGGAAGAGTCTTACTTTTACCCAATTTACAACTACTACAATCAAATGAGACATCATTGAAAGAAACAGGGTCTTTATTAGAAAACAAACCAGATTTCAACAAGAACAACAATCTTTTGGCATTAGGATGCACCAATCGTTTATGCCACATCTGATATGACGTACTAGAAGAAGGATAAAATAACGAAAATAAAGATTTATTCCTGGGATAGCTAAACAAGCTTAGAGGAAACAGCCTTCCACATTTAGGTCCCTTCCCGATCACTTTCCTCGACTCCTGATCCTGCACAATACATCCAGATGTAGAAAATGAAACTTTAGAGTTATTATCAACCAATTGACCGACAGATATAAGATTAGAGGTCAAACGTGGTGTATGATAAACATTATGTAATGGCAAAGAATGAGGGATATCACCAACTGACTTAATGGGAAGATGTTCCCCATTAGCAGTATGAATTTTCACATTTCCCACATATGGTTTCACATTAGTGAGATGTGTTGAGGAAGAGGTCATGTGATTGGAAGCACCAGAATCAACATACCAAATAGATGAGGAGGAAGGTTTACCTGTGAGACCAAGAGCAGAAAATGCAGAATGAATCATTTGTTGCACTACCTCTGGAGTTATGGATCTAGAAGCAGTAAAAGCTTGAGAATGCTGCATGGTCGTAGCAGCAGAGGGAGAACCCACTGCGGTGGTAGCATTGAAAGCCTGGGATGATCGATTTTGAGGTCGCTTACGGCAATCAACAATCAAATGTCCAGACTTCTTACAGTAGTTGCAGAATTTTTTGGCTATATGCCCATATTCCTTACAGCTATAACATTGTATTTTGGACAAATCCCTTCCTTTAGCCTGAGCTGCATAAGCTACATCCAGTGGATTAGTGCCAACACCCTTTTGTTCAATTGTAGCTTGAGTCAAACAACGTTGTTCTTCTCGGAGAAGTTCACCAAAGCACATATCCAATGATGGAGAAGGATCTCTAGCCATCAGATTTGAGCGAATAGATTCAAAATCACGTCTCAATTTCATAAGAAACTGATCTCTTAGAGTAATTTCATGCACTTTTTGAAGAGATGGTAGCCCCTCACTTGGGACAGTAGCATAAATTAGTTGCTTATATTCAGCCCAAAGATTCATGAATCCAGAATAATAGTCTTGAATTGACATATTCCCTTGGGAATATTCAGATATGTCCAATTCAAGCTGAAAACGCCTCCCAGAATTTTCTTGATTATAAACCTTTTTTAGATAACCCCACATATCTTTAGCATTGGAATAAGGCTGCAAATTGAGTACAATATTAGAATCTACTGAGCTTAAAATCCAACTAATTATCTTTGCATCATTAGACTCCCATTTAGCTATGCTATCATTTTCAGTCCCAGCTTTTGGTTCTGGGATTGATCCATCTACATGTCCCCACAATTCTTTCCCTTTAACAAACATACGGAATTGAAACTCCCAAGAAAAATAATTCTTCCCATTCAATTTAATGGGCAAGATTTCTGACTTTTCTGACATTCTAAAAAAAAAACTTCAAAAGAGACTCAAACGAAAGAGAAAAGATGAATGAGAACCTGAGATGATGCTAACAGCAATTCTTGACTGCAACTCTAACCAAGATTGTTGCTGCAACTCCTTAGAAACAAGACACCATAGTTTTTAACAAAAAACTGTGATGTATCTTATAAAAAAAAAAAAACTCAGAACATCTCTTGTATCAAGCTGGGCTCTGATACCATGACAATACGAAGAGAACAAAGAGATTTGTGGAGAAAACTT